TTTTTGGTCATTACATATAACCCCGAAATCCTAGGCACTTTCGAGAAAAAAATTCCTTACCGAAAATCTAATTAGGTGCCTAAATTCGACGAAAAAAAAAATTTCAAATCGTTCTGGAAAAATTATTTTCTTTTGCGGGGGCCAATTAGAATAATTTTTGGTGAATGGACACACCCCCGAAATCCTACCCACTTTCTAGAAAAAAATTCGAAAATGTGTGAAATTCTTCGACGGAAAAAAAAGATTTCAAATTGTTTTGGAAAAATTATTTTCGTTTACGGGGATCAATTACAATAATTTTTGGTGGATAGACATATCCCCAAAATCTTGCGCATTTTCGAGAAAAAAATTCAGTACGAGAAGAACTTTAAACGTTAATAACTTTTTAACAAAGCCTCCATCAACAAATTGGTATTCTTGATTTTCGTCTTATTTTGGCCTCCAGAATCCCCCATTAAAATTTTTCCCAGGTTTGGCCGAACGCCCTGTATAAAAGAAATATTCTCGATTGGATAAGAAGATAATTGATGGTTATATTCGGCAAAGTGCACGTACCAACTGCTTGGCGTTGATTGAAAAGACGCGAGAAGCAACGAGCTGAAATGAGATCTAACTCGTTAGGCGAGAAAGACGAGCTTTCGCGAGGCTTGCCATACGAATCGCTTCTCTTTTCTTGTTTCAAACGACACGAAAGACCTCATTGCCCCAGGCCTAACGTTAATGCGCGTGATTTTCTTTTCATTCCGTCTAAGGCGAGCCGTCGCTGTTTGCTCTGCGATCTTTTTCACGATAGAAGGTTGTACAGCAACGAGAGAGAAGCGTCCAGAAACAGTTGCAATCTCGCGTTGAATAATAACCGTGCCAATGGAGGCGAAATTTTATTTTTAACACGAGCCATTTTCACAATCGATACTGTTTGATCCTTCCGTGCGTGGGACGTATTATTTTGAAAATGTGTTACGGTACGAGTGAAGTGTGTTACTGAAAACTGGCCAATTAAAGAGCCCGGAACAATAATTGGGAATCGCCAATTTTCTAAATGTCACAGAGTGTGCCGGGCAACCATTACATTCTAACGTCATGTTGTCGCGTACTATAATCATTATTTGTTCTTTAAATACAAATTTTCTCGCTGAAATTAGTTTTACGCTGCATAAAAATTCTGGAAGTATTATGCCAGCAAAGCTGTACCAGTATCGATATGATGCCGCGGGTAATGTAAAAATATAAAAATAATATTGCAGCGAAGTTCTTATATCAGGTATGGGCAAAATTTTTATCTCGAGAAAGATGTCGAATAACGAAGGATAAACTTTTTATCCGTGGCTTGTTAAACGAAAATAAAAATTCCAATAATAAAATGAAATATCTCACAAATATCGAATAAATAGAAATTTAGTGGAATACGCTGGTTTTATTAGAATTAAATTTTATGTAACAGTAGACGAGAAAACTGACCAAATATTTATTACGGTATTTACTACAGTATTAATGGTAGCGAAATTACTAGAAGAAAATGTTGAAAAAAAAGTTGGTAAATAGACGTCACGAAGGGCATCAAAGGGAGTTAATTTTGCAACAGTTAAAAAGAAAAAGCTTGCTCCTTCGAAGAAAAACATCGATGCTTTTACAGAATAATATAAAAATGGAGAAAAATATTTGGTGTTAATTATAACGCCCGTGGTGTTGGTAAAGAAAAGGAAAAACGACTTGAAATATACTTGTAAAAAGTACGAAGAATTGGCTACACGCGTTGAACTATTTAAATTTTAGAATTTAATAGATTTTAATCCGCCAAAGAATGCGGGACCAAAGATATAGTATTAAATATAACAAAGACTTAGTATTAAGTATGTCAAAGCCAATTCGGGTCATTATTAAAACCAAATATTAAATTTACAAAGATGAGTTTACTGAAAATTTGTTGTGATGCAAAACAGATTGCACAAAGAAATTTTGTATTAAATAAAATAATGATAGTAATACCAATTTAACATTTTTCATGAGAAACTAGATCATTGTGCATGATGCTACATATTTTGTTTGTTTTATTCTATGCTCAAACATTGAGTAAAATTTTATTTATGCTCAAATTCCATGTATATGTATTTAATTACCTTGCTTTCTTATCAATATAGAAATATACAGGGTGTTCGGCTATCACTGGGAAAAATTTTAATAGGAGATTCTGGGGGCCAAAATAAGACGAAAATCAAGAATACCAATTTGTTGATGGAGGCTTCGTTAAAAAATTATTAACAATTAAATTCAAAAATTTCAAATCGTTCTGGAAAAATTATTTTCGGTTGCGGGGGTCAATTACAAGCATTTTTGGTGAATACACATACCTCCGAAATCCTATCCACTTTCGAGAAAAAAAATTCGAGGTGTAAAATATTCCGACGGAAAAAAAAATTTCAAATCGTTTTGGAAAAATTATTTTCGGTTGCGAGAGTCAATTACAATCATTTTTGGTGAATAGACATCACCCCGAAATCCTGCGCATTTTCGAGAAAAAAATTCGAGGAGGTGTGAAATTTTTCGTCTGGAAAAAAAATTTCAAATCGTTTTGGAAAAATTATGTTTGGTTGCGGGGGTCAATTACAATAATTTCTGGTGAATAGACATATCCCCAAAATCCTGCGCATTTTCTAAAAAAAAATTCAGTACGAGCGGAACTTTAAACGTTAATAACTTTTTAACAAAGCCTCCATCAACAAATTGGTATTTTTGATTTTCGTCTTATTTTGGCCTCTAGAATCTCCCATTAATATTTTTTCCAGGGGTGGCCGAACACCCTGTAAAAGGGATGATCACACCAAACTACACCAATGTAGCTATTAAATACACCGAAATGTATCACTTTTACTTGATTTCCTCCTACCAGAAAGCAAATAGGATATATGGATTTGCAATCATTTCGTGCCCAATAGGGATGAAAATCTATCATGCATAAGTAGCGACGTCGTTTCAAAGTTTACGTAAATCGATGGTCTGGCTGCTTATCGTGGCAAATATCAACTTCAGATTTTCCATGCAGCTTCGTCTAATGGATGGCCAGCGCGCGAGCATCCATCAAGTTCGACAAGTTAAAAGTGATCGTGTCGGGAATCCTTGAAGTTGAAATTCTTTTCGTCGAAACGTGGAATTGCATTTTCCAACAACTCCAGTTTCGTCTATTTACGAACGACTGAATTTTCTCGCGCAGAAAAGCATCATTTGGCGCAAAAGTATTCCCAATTACGCCGTGACTGAATTTGTTTCATAAATTAGTTGGTTTAGTATCCTATATAAACATAAAACCACGGTTTCATGGTCGAAGAAGGTTACGAGCCCTTAAAGGAGCAACGAAGGGCCCCAGAAATTACTTTATAGTCGATAAATATTTAACAAGCTTCCAAAAGAATACGTCTCGCGTCGAGCAGTCGTAAACAGTATGCAAGGATCTTGGCCAACTTAATCCTGAAGATTTTCACGCATTTTCATCCGATTCATATTTTTAAATATTTTTTCCTTTCTGTACGAAATAATCGATACAGTATAGAAATATTTTTAGAAAAATAAGAAGGTCAGAAGCGAGGCGAGAACGTATATTTCTGCCTTTTTCACGTAGAAGCTAGTACCGTGACAAATTTAATCGTGTGCGATAAAACGGCCATTATACAGTCACTTGATAAGTCGAAGTTGGAGGGAAAAACCGTTTTAAGTTACAGAAGTTTCGTTTTAACAAAGTTTGGACTTACGAGGGTACAGCAAGAAAATTCCGATTTAAGGAGATATCTACGAAAAAGATTAAAAGCTCGATACTTTTATTATTGTTCTCGAGATTAAAGTCGTTCCAACTGCGGAAAGCTGGTTATCAGCAACGACTTAATAGCTCGGACTATCGATTTTCTAAATTGAATCGTGGAAGTCAAAATTATCGGAAATGCCTCCACTTTGGGCGCGTCCGATTTAACCCTTGATTGGTACGATACTTCACTGTGAAATTTCACCTACACACTGTAACTGTAATATTATTGGTTAAGCTGTAATATTGGAAATACAATGAAAACTACATTCTCTTTAAAACACAAACTGGTCTGTAGAATAATTAAACACAGTAAAATTTAACTGATAAAACGATACAGCTAAATAAGTTGTAATATTGGAGATAAAATGAAACCTACGTTCCCTTTAAAACACAAGATTGTAGAAAAATAAAGTACAGTAAAATTTAACCAACAATACGAAAATTTCTCTCAATTTTCACCCACGGTACCAATTAAGGGTTAAATTTGCCCAAAGAGATTTTGCTCTATCTTTTATCATTTAAGAGCTATGCTTGGGTGAAACGTCTTGTGTAATATTCGAACAGCGATTCTTATCCTGGCGGGTAACTCGGCCAGTCGCAGGTATCACTTAGAATCCCCGTTTCCTTTTGCCCGGGGATCGTACAAAGAATATCAATGCAAAGATACGAGTGCAAATTTTACGAGTACGTGGCCACGCGGCTTGAACCGGCACCGCAAAAAGAATCCGTAGAAAAAAAGCCACGGACAAAGCGTTGCCTCGCCAGAAAGGAACACATTCGCGGGCGTATTTTTTTGGATTTGCTAATTAGACGTCGGACGAAATATTGAGAAGAACGTCGTCGTCGGGCGCGAGTAATTGGAATATGTAACGAGCACGTAAAACGAATGAAATGAGCAAATTTCCTCGAGTTTTATGGTACCGTAAGTACAGACGCCGTGACGTAAGAGAAACGTGAATTTAGACCGTTTCTATTATTTGCGGAACCGTTCCTCCGCAGGATTCTTTCTCATGAATATTAACGTTGGAACTTAAAAGGCTTATTTTCTTTTTTTCTTCTCTCTCTCTCTTTTTAACTTTCAACTCCAGATTCGTCCAGACCGCTCCGTATAATGAGCGGACCTTCGACTCGTTTCACGAGAGATACTCTTTCGACAGTGGCAACCAGGGACGAAAATCGTGGAAGAGAATCAGTTTTATGTACTCACCTTCGCGAAGTCGATTTTCAGTGTGCAGCATCCGGAGTATATGTCTGCTCCGTGAAGTGTCTCCTTCGCTCTCGTTGCCGATTCCACCGAGTCGAACGTGCTTCCGGAGGATTCGGTTAAGAATATATAGACACTGTGTGTGTGTGTTTCGCGAGCTCATCGACGAATAGAAACCTGTCGCGCGAAAGCTACCCGGGACAAACACTGCTTAAAGAGGATTTCCATCGGTTTCGCGCGCATTGTTTACTGAAAATTCGAAATCAAGAGGGCCCTCTAGCTTCTGAAAACCGATTTTTCATTGTTTATTGAACGATCTCCGACGCCGAATTTCATCGATGATTTTTGCTTATACAGGGTGTTCGGCTACCCTTGGGAAAAATTTTAATGGGGGATTCTAGAGGCCAAAATAAGACGAAAATGAAGAATACTAATTTCTTGATGGAGGCTTCGTTAAAAAGTTATTAATTTTTTTCTCGAAAATGCGCAGGATTTCGGGGTGATGTCTATTCACCAAAAATGATTGTAATTGACTCTCGCAACCGAAAATAATTTTTCCAGAACGATTTGAAATTTTTTTTTCCGTCGGAATATTTTACACCTCGAATTTTTTTTCTCGAAAGTGGATAGGATTTCGGAGGTATGTGTATTCACCAAAAATGCTTGTAATTGACCCCCGCAACCGAAAATAATTTTTCCAGAACGATTTGAAATTTTTGAATTTAATTGTTAATAATTTTTTAACGAAGCCTCCATCAACAAATTGGTATTCTTGATTTTCGTTTTATTTTGGTCTCTAGAATCCCCCATTAAAATTGTTCGCAGGGGTGGCCGAACATCCTGTATAGAATGACTCTGGTGCGTATAACGATTGCTATTTTTATTCACGTACATTCATTCGAGTGTCTTTTCTTTCGATTCAAACAATATGAACAGTTACTCGTATTCGTACATTATAATGGTGATTCACTATAAGTGAAAAGAAACTTGTTTTTCTTATGAATTCTTTCTTACATATATTGTTACCTAATTTGTTTATTACACTGTGTGTTATTTCTATTTATGAAGTAGTATTTTTTTAATACTGCCTTTCTTATGAATTCTTCCTATTTATTTTTACTAAATGTTGTTTGTTACAACTGTGTTACTTCTATTTACGAAGTAGTATTTTTTAACATTATTTCTTATGAATTCTTTCAGTTTATTTTCACCAAATATTTGCTTATTACAAGTGTGTTACTATTATTTACAAAGTAGTATTTTTTTAATATTGTCTTTCTTATCAGTTCTTTCCATTTATTTTTACTAAAATTGTTTATTACAACTGTGTTACTTTTATTTACAAAGTAGCTTTTTTTCAAACAGTAACAAGCAAATTAATCAGAAAATCGATAGAGGTATAATAGCAACAGAATAAAATACTGTTAACAATAAACAAATCAACAATAACGTGGTGTTTTCTCAACTGGCCACTCATCCTTGAACTGGTCGCGACGAACGCAGCTTCTCTTTTGTGATCGGACAAAACTCGATGTTTTTAACGTGCCACGATTGTCGACAAGTGTTCTTTATAATTTACTCAAACTTATCTTAATCCCAATATACGAAAAAATGGACTTACACCGGTTTCAAAATCTGAGTTCATACGAAACAAGCTTTTTCCCATTCATAGCGAATCATCATTGCAGTGTACGAATACGAGTGGAGCTGTATTTCTAATTGCATCGTATCGTTGAAAGTAACAGAGAGATTGCACAGTACGAGAGTACAATGCACGAAAAGTTCAATAATTTCAAGTGGTTTCGTGAAACTGGAGGGCAGGCGATTAAGTGGACTCCTCTCCAATATGAAGTATCCGATACTTAAGATAACCGACAACGAAAGATCCGGTAACCCAGTCTTGTCGGTTCCGAGTTCCGGTTATAAATCTTCATTGCATTGTAACGGTGGCGCGTGACCGACAAACTTCTGTACCGAGTCGTTTCGTAGAAGTGTGTCACGGTGGAGATCCTCCCGGGGCTTTAAGACCATCTATCGTGCTTCGAAAAGCTCGTACTCGCGGTCCATACGTAAAACGCGATCCACCGAGTGGACAAAGTATTGCAAAGGATATTCCACCATGGCTTGAACGCCGTTTTTCTTGAAGATAACGATACGCCGAACTTGCCCGCTGGGTGCACTGATCGTGTGCAAGACTTCCTGCAACAGATAATACGATACGTATATTAGAAGAACTCAAAATTATTTTGAAACATATTACTTTGGAGATCGCTTGAGATCTCCCCTCAAATTACAGCGTGTACAGAGTATATAGGGTGCTTGGCCACCCCTGGGAAAAACTTTAATGGGAGATTCTAGAGGTAAAAATAAGACGAAAATCAAGAATACTAATTTGTTGATGGAGGCTTCGTTAAAAAGTTATTAGCGTTTAAAGTTCTATCGGTACTGAATTTTTTTCTAAAAAGTGGGTAGAATTTCGGGGGTAGGTCTGTTCACCAAAAATGATTGTAATTGATCCCTGTAAACAAAAATAATTTTTTTAGAACGATTTGAAATTTTCTAATTTTGTCAAAAAATTGCACGCCTTCTTGAATTTTTTTCTCGAAAGTGGGTAGGATTTCGAGGGTATATCTAATGACCAAAAGTAATTGTAATTGATCCCCGCAACCGAAAATAATTTTTCCAAAACAATTTGAAATGTTTGAATTGTGTCGACAATTTTATCGAACTACTCGAATTTTTTTCTCAAAACCGAGTAGGATTTCGAGAGTATGTGTATTGACTAAAAATGTTTGTAATTGACCCCTGCAACCAAGAATAATTTTTCCAGCACGATTTGAAATTTTCTAATTTTGTCAAAAAATTGCACACATTCTCGAATTTTTTTCTCGAAAGTGTGTAGGAATTCGGAGATATGTCTATTCACCAAAAATGCTTGTAATTTACCCCTGTAACTAAATATAATTTTTTTAGTATGATTTGAAATGTTTTAATTTCGTCTAAAAATTTCAGTACCTACTCGAATTTTTTTCTCGAAAATGTGTAGAATTTCAAGGGTATATGTATTCACCAAAAATGATTGTAATTGCGCCCTGCAACCATCAATAATTTTTTCAGAATGATTTAAAATTTTTTAATAACTTTTTAATGAAGTCTCAGTCAAGAAATTGATATTACTGATTGTCGTCTTATTATGGCCTCCAAAATCTTCAATTAAAATTTTTTCCAAAGGTGACCAAACACCCTGTATACAGTAGTTTAATGGATTAATTATTTTGTAGTATTTTTAATGTTAATCACGTTAAGCTTTGTTTATTGCAAGCCTTTTAAAGACACGTAAATTTGAAACTTCGATTATTAAACACTATCATGATAATGAATGTGTTAAGTAAAAATTAAATTTTATTTGAATGGACGTTTTTTTGAGAAATTCCTCAATGATATTGCAAAATACTAATTTTAACACTTACAATTTTTTCCAAGCATTTCAACAATTTGCAAGTTTTTCTGAAAGTATTCAACAATTCTAATCATAGTTAAAATATATCAAAACTTTGGAGTAAATTAATTTACTTATTTGCCTAATAATTCTACAATCTTTTTTAATGCAATATTAACTTACTGAAAATTATGCTGTATGCCACTATAAAAACACGAATCAGCAAAGACAAATGATGAAAAGAGCGGGTACAGTATTTCAGTAAATTTTAAATCTGGGTAACTTGCAAAAAAAAAAAAATAATTTATTTATCTTTCATAAATCGAATCATCCAATTTTTCAATCAGGTCAAAATGTCAGATATTTTTCGTCGCTATTACCGAGAGTTTGACGTATAAAAACTTATTGCTTCCGTCACGATATCACGACGTGTTATTTGTATCCACCCTCTGCCGTAATTTTTTATTCGTTTCACGGTATTTCAAACGTGCTACGCTTCCTCCACGAGTATCGAAAACTGATACCAAGCACCTGAAATATCGACGTCTTTCGACGACACCGAGTACTTTGGTATCGAAATATTTGAATATTATCAGTAACGTCGGTATCCAATGCATCATCGTTCGCGAACGCCGGAACAGGAAAAATCGTTTTAGAAACTGAAATAAGCTAGCGCTGTATAACAAAGTAATGGACGCCCTCTCGTCGTATCTGCGCGTTGCACGTAAAAGCGCGGGCCGCGTGAAATATTTCTCGCGTCTTATCAGGAATTCAAATCCGACGTTCCCGTACACATCTTATTCCGCGCGCGTCCAGAATAAGGCTCTAAAAAAACTTTTACGTCTAGGATCCGCGAGCGTGTTTTCCAAACGGTCGTATATCTCGGCCGAATTGGTCAGTAAATTTATAGCACCGTTTCTAGATTCGCGGAACTTGACTGTCGAAAAAGGCGTTAAAACGGGACTGGATCCGCGCGAACAAATATTCGAGAATTTATAACAGCGAAGAAGTTTATCCCCGCGTAACAGGCGCGGGGTTCTGAAAATCTTTCGCGACATTCGAGGTCGAAGTCTCGATTTACGAAAAATTCGCTCGAGTTTGCGAAAGATTCGATTTCCACAGAGACTTGAGCAGCGGGGAGGAGGGATCGGGAGGAATGTAAACCCGAGCCGTAATTATGCATCTGCTCGCCTATCTAAATGTTTATGAATTTCAATACCTGTAACTCTTCTCGTTCATCAGAAGAGCAATAAACACGGATAACCGGTTATGCTCCCGCGCGTGTGCATCCTCGATGAGTGGCGTACGCTCGAGATCGAGCACACCGAACCAAATTAGTACGACGACGCAACCAAATTAACGTGTTCATTATAGCTGTGCCGTACGACTTTATATTTGGAATTATTTTATTCCACCGTGTACCTTCTTTTTTTTAATTTCTCGCTTACGTAATTTTGTTAATTAATTTCTTTGGGACACGTTTTATATTTCCTTAACAGTAAACCTACTCGACATGTATTTCTGTTATTACCAGTCTTAAAAAAAAAATGTTTCATAATGTAGAATGCAGATAATAGTTTGATAATGACACAAAAATATAGTTTCCTTTATTTGGAAATAAATAATATATATTGTATTCCTTGTCATTTGTTGCAAATTACAAGACTTCTCGATTGCACATTTTCCATATACAGTAATGTTTCTTAAAATGAACGCGTGATTCGTAAGTTGAACGTTTCTGTTCCAACATGGAGGATCCTCCTTAGAGCCCAGTGTGATGATATTGCTGTGTGAAAGATGAACAAGCCAATCCCTGAGCCATGTTCATTTTGCGAATCATTGCTATATATATTGTTATTTATACCGGAAGCTAGCCAGAATTTGATAAAAAAAACTATAAATCGTCTAACCTATCAAATGATTACATATTTTTCTCCAGACAACAAAGAGTAAGAAAAGAATATTGAAAAATGTATTGCACGTACATTATGAGAAAAGTCGCGAAGTTAAATGGCGCTGAAATAACGTTGAAATTTTATAAACGATCGTTTGACCCAAATCGTGGTAGGTTTAGCGTGAACCGTGCAGAAAATCGTTATCGGTGTAAAAATGTGAAAAGTTATTTTTGGACGATTTTCGGACGCGATGAGCTAATGAAAGGTTCGAAGGAATCGGTGTTGGCTGCCATCGAGCGAACAAAGAACCGCCAATTGAAAACGTTCAAGCACCAGGTGTACGTTTACCTGTAGCTACACACGCTGGCATACCCGAGTCTCCACGGTACGAGTGATGACGCAGCATGGCGCCTTGCCAAACCCACTTTTAAGCTGCAACTTCTTCCGCTGGGACGCTTTGCGTCCAGATGATAGGGAGCACAAGTCGGCTTACGAATCCTAACGTTTGCTCGGGGAAAAATATGGCCGTCCGCGAATCCTTTTAACCGGAAAAACTACTTTACTTTCGATCCAGTCGCGATACGAGCCGACAAACTTGAGCTCATAGCGTCATCAATTTCAAAGAGTAACGGTACATATCTCCGTCCTACTATATTTTCCTCTGTTTTGCAGAATCACACGCTCGAGGAAATACGGCGCGAATTTATTACCCCCGTTCTGTCGCTGACTCGCACGATTTTCTGCTCGTGCCTACGATCAGCCAAAAGCTAAATAGAAACATACAGAAAAGTTCCCGCTGAAAATCTTTTATCGCCTTCGCCGTTTCAACACTTTGTTTCTTTAAATAAAAATATATTTTTTTGCTATAATACATTTATTATGAGTTTCTATTGATTCGAACCTCAGGATGCCCAAGTTTAACACTAAACCTACCACGACCGGTCAAATGACAGTTTTCTAAATTTTGTTTAAATTTTCTAACATATAATGTTATTTTAGTGCCATTTAACTTTACGACTTTTCTTATAGTACACGTCCAATGAATTTTACAATATTCACTTCTATTCTTATTGTTTGTTCTCTGAGAAAAATATGTAGTCTGTCATCTGATCGGTTGAATAATTTATATTTTTTTGTAAAAGAATTGGAAAAAATTTGGTACCAAATACTGGTTAGCTTCCGATGTAAATAGGAAATATATGTATAGCAAAGACGAATGGAGAGAATCTTCAGTTTCCACTGTCTTAAAACAGTCTAACGCGTATTAAAAATAGTTAAACTTTAGACGCGTGCAGTTCCGAAACCATTAGTGTTTTATTAATTATTGACCAACTGTTAGCGGCGGTAAACCTTCCTCTTTAAAATGGCTTTTGGTTTTTGTCGATCCGACTTTCCGTTTTCGAGATATCGTAATTTATGTAAAAGGTAATTTTAAAAATTTCACTGTCTCTCGCTTCACCGTGTTAGGAAAGGCTATTAACGCGTATTAAAAATAGTTAAACTTTAGACGCGTGCAGTTCCGAAACTACTAGTGTTTTATTAATTATTAAGCCACTGTTAGCGGCGGTAAACCTTCCTCTTTAAAATGGTTTTTGGTTTTTGTCGATCGGACTTTCCGTTTTCGAGATATCGCAATGTATGTAAAAGGGTATTTTTCTTAATTTGACTATCTCTGTCTCCGTCTGACGCGTCGCGTCGTACCTCTTTGTCGCACGTGAGTCGTGACCGAGTGACCCAGTTCCGGCGTAGTATTTCCAAGAATTTACTACGCACTGTTTACTATTGTCGCGCGCGCGAGTTCATTGATCTCAATGAAACGTAAACAAACGCTTCGGACCCTCGTATCTCCGTAACTAGCCACCGCA